AGGGAGATTATATCTATGCTTCCTCCATCTAACTTGACCACTAATAAATTAGTAGACAGGTTCTAATGAGTATATTTGGTAACTTGGTCCAAAGCTTATTCAGTAATAAATCAAATCCCAGTAGAGAAAATAGAAACATTTTAGTTCTGTAAAATATTATTTCTTAAAAACAGTGCTTTTCATTGGAACCTGTTGACCATGACTTTGTTCTTTGAAGACATGTTTCTCTGGTGTGATGTTGAGGACATTCTCTTTTCTTTACCCTACAAGGGTACCATCAATAACACAGTTGTAAGGCCTCTTTCTTCAAGCTCATCCCCAGTTATTTTGATCTTGTGTGGCGTAAGCTTTTTTCATATTCTATATGGGTGTTCATTCTAGGCAGCTGTGTGCTCTGCAACAGTATTCTTTCTGGGTTTTTTTGGTTTTGTTTGAAAAGTCAAAAGGAAAACTTTGGAAAAACTATTAATGCTCCTTACCTATCTGTGTTTTAAACTTGTTAGTATCTGGTTAAAACCTCACTGACTGTATACATATACCTGCTGAAAACATGATTGTTGTATATTAAAGAGTGACTTTTGTTCTTAAAACAGCTCCCTGCCTGGGCAATTTCTTTCTCAAGACTTTCCACTGACAATTATCAGTTCTGTTGAAGATGGGTAGCTGTATTTTCCATTGTGACTTTCTATGTTTATTCCTTTTAGCCTGGCTTTCCACAGAGACAAGGTCTTTTCTTTGTACTCTTAGACTTCTCCCTTAATTTAGCATCCTATTGGATAATTTCAAACACCTTGACAGAGAGTCTGAGTTGTGAAGGTAATTCTTATTAAAACAGCCATCCACATAAAGTATCTCTCCTACTTAGCAAAATACTGTGGCTTGACTTTCCCCTCACTACAAAAGATATCTTAAGTTCAAGTCTGTGGGGGAAACTTTATTTGTAACTTGTGTACCTTCCTAATGACAGTAGTTATTCCAGACACAGGAAGTCAGTCCTGATTGCACCGTTTTATCTGCTTTTCTTGGTAACAGAGGGTTTTCATCAGGTTCAAGGCAGGTGTGGAGGAAGACAGCATATCTGTGAGTCTTTAAAAATACTGACATATATTTAGTGCATAGGTACATTTTTGCTTTGCACAAATCTATTATAGAACAGTGTTAAACCAAAAACCTGTGATTATTGCAGTTGTGGAAAAGAAATAGAGGATTCTGAACTGAAATGCAAAGGTAAAATACTAATATTGGTAATATTTTGATTCAGATGGTACTGATATCTTTAATTAAAATGATTAATAATACAGCTGGACATACCAATAATCATTTTAATCTGGTTAGTATACTTAAAAGTAATAACAGAATGTGCTGACAGAGTTCCATGGTATCTGTGCAAGTCTCCTTGAACCTTGTGCATGTACTAGTGGTGCTGGCCTGTACTGAAGTCAATGCTATTACATTCACACTAGTTATGTTAGCCTCCCTGGACAACCAGAATTCCATTTTATGAGTAGCTGCTTCCTGACACAAATTAGATTTGAAGTAGTTGACAGTATGTGGCACCAGGGGGAGTAAATAGGCTATATTTTTGAAGTGCTAGTTATAAGGACCTCACTTTATTCATGTTTTTAAACAGATTATTTCCTCAGAGTTTAGAGCTATCATCCCATTTCTAAGAAGAAAATTCCAAGTATGTTTCATAAATTACATTAAAAAAGTAGAATAACTACATTTCATAAATAACATACAGAAGGAACATGTCATCTACTGTCCTGTGTAGAGGGTTGTAGTGTTTTCCTGAAGTATTTCTGCATCAAAAACTTCAGGCAAAGCAAGAATACGAATTCTGTGTGAATTCACATGTCCTCTTGAGCAACGCCCATTCTTATTTCATGAAAAATAAGAATTTATACTGTAGCTTCATGGTATGTACTGTCAAAACAAGCAGCATTGTAAAAAAATTATACCTCATATACCTTTAAGGACAGTTAACACAGGATAACGAACTATGGTTTCTGTAGAATACAGAGGTTAAGATCAGTGCCTTGTGGTGTATATATATATGAAAACTGTGTGATTTATTCAACTTTTATATTTTCACCTGAACTATCTCAGTTTGGGTTTTTTTCTTCATCTGTTATGCTGTATATATCTTGCTCTTTATTGTACCAACACTAGCCATCTTAAGTTAATGCAAAAGGACTATTGTAAACAGGAGCATTTTATTCTGAGAAAGAGTTTACTGGCATCCCTGCGTGTTTTGATTCTGTAAAGCTTCCAGTGTCTGGTCAGTATTGCAGTGGGTATTGCCAGCCTGTCATCTGAGACAGGAATTGTTTGTTAGAGGGTAGTTTTGATTCTATTGTGTACTGTTCCATAATTAATTAAAACTAGCTAATCTGTTTGTAAATACTCATCTGGGTATTCAACAAAATGACATACTCAAGGTGTGTGGGTAATGAGAGGGGTAATTTTTTAAAGACAAACTGAAAACAAAGAACTCATTGTAACAAGGGTGCTTCTGTCAGTTTTGTCTCTCCATAAATATTGAGAACAAAAGTGAAATTTTTTTGCATGTTCTGAGCCAAAGTTGTAGTCAATCGTTAGTTCAATGACAAGTCTGATCTAGTTTATCTAATCTAATGTGAGAGGAGGGATGGAGAACTTTGCACATTTAGTTATCTTGTTTAAAAACTAGAACAAAAAGACTCTAACTGCTTTGAACATTGTGCTGTTCTTTCTTCACCATAGTTCCTCTGATCTTGTACAGTCACATTTGTAACACCTGGGTCACGGGAAGCCTGAAGGGTGGAAAGGTCAACAGCAGTGACTAAACTACTATCTCTTGTAGCAGGGAAAAATAGGACCTATGGTAAGGTCCAAAAAAAAGTCTCTGAGGAAAGGACAGTCAGAGCAGATTAGCAAGAATGGTCATCGTTGAATCACAGATGAATGGTATCAGAAAAGCCCTTAAGTAACCCTGGAAAATATAGGAAACACCAAAAGTTAGTCTTGGATCTCCTAACTGAAGGTGGTTACGATTGGCTGGCAGCTGCCATAGGGCTGCAAATGTGTCATTCATCCTTGCAGATCATAACACCTACCGACATAAGCATTTTTAATTGTCTGTTTCACTTCTTGAAACAGTGTTAATGTCCACCAGGTGCAACAGAAATGTCATGAAAAAAGCTCATTTACTTCTATGTCTGTGTCACAGAGTTGGGATCACTCGAAGACCCTGGGAAATAAAATTGTACTTTTTATTGCAGCCTTTGGTAAAACAGTTTGCAGAAGGTCTTGTACATGTATTTCTGGAGCATTCATTTAGCTATATATCCTATGAGTGATCAAGCAGCTCAGCATTGGTTCCCAGCTTGTGCTTAGACTGTGGACATCCTTCCCCACCAATTCTGCAAGCAGCATAACTTCAGTAAATTTGATCTGTCATTGTAGCAAGCCAGCATAGTTAATTCAGTGTTCAGAGGACAGGTGCAGACAGAAATAAAACAATATTTGTCCAGCTGAATCTAGCGCAGCTTGGAATTACCATGCATGTAACAACTAGTAAGTAAATTAAGTAAGGGCTTCTTAAAAATACATCTTCGCTAAAATAGCTGTAAAACAAAGTACATGCTGAAGGAAATAGGGGGAGATACTAAAAAAATGTTTCTTGGAATCTTTCTGACTTAAGAGGAAATGGAGGAAAGCAGAATTTAAAGTGGACAAGAAGTAGAATGTAGCATTGGATTCATTAAGCACTGAAATACTTCTGAATGCAGGATATGAAGATGTTTTCATTGCAGCGCCCGATCCTTCAAGAATTAAATTAATTATATCTAGCAATTTCTTATTATTTTAAATATAATTAACAAGCTTCATAGTACTGAGCATAAGTTTGTTGTTGCCAGAGTGAGAAACAAAAACAACAGAAATAGCATTCAGGTAAGTTTTTTAAGTGCCAGTTTTCAAGAGATGTGAAGAGAGGGGAAATTCAAATGTGCATTTGGAAGTTTTCTTTAAGAATTATGCCACTAATTTAAACCTCAGGGGGCCTAACTGTCATGTTTGATGCAACTGCACTGCTTGAGCTATCCATTCTGCCTTGTGCAGAACTAAATAGGTGTATCTGTGTGGCAGTTGATTCTTCTGTGTACTGCACATGCTGTAATACACCACTGACCCTATGGCAGAGCATTATAAGGGAGGGATAAAAGCAGTTCAGTGCTACTTAACCTGGCCTTCCTCCGGGTTGCTAATTTTTATATTTGTGTAAGTTATATGAGAGTCCTAATATAGCGTTATTTAATAAAACAGTGAATATGGAAGGAGTTGTTTAATATCCTACTTAACTAATGCTGTTCTTTGACTTTTCCAAGGGAAGTCACTCCACCAAAGTGGAAGCTGTGGTCCGAACACTGAAGAAAATTCAATTTAAAGATCCAGGCGCTAAATCCTTAGTTTTCTCAACGGTATTAATCACCGTTTTCTGTTTTGTCTTTGTGTATGTGTGTGAGCTTAAAATGGTCATACTATTTTCGGGAATTGGTTTAGCTACCAAAATGTTGAATCACTCTCTACAGCCACTTGATTGTTTTGAGAATTTGTAGGGTAATTCATGTAACTGGGACATGAACAATGGTCGTAGTCAACAGTTGTAAAAGCTTGTTTCTTTAAAGGGCAAACACTTAAATTTATATGGGAGAATTAGAAATTCTAGAGACTTTAAAATGTAATGTCCAGATATTTTTGATACATTGTAAAAATGGTTTTGTGATAGCTACCAATTTCTTTTATTCAAATTGATCTCTTTAATTACATTTGTTATTTAGTTTTATAAAAGATTCGGTTCCTGGCACACAAATATTTTTTTTTTCTTTCTTAAATTGCAAATACTAGTATTTTGAAAGGCATTCTTATATTCTCTTTTTTAGGGAAGTTAGTTACTGTATTTTAGTTATTGTTTGTAATGTTGATTTACTTGTGTTGTGTGGCTTTTTTTTTTTTTTTACAGTGGCAAGATGTGTTGGACATAATTTCAAAAGCTTTGTGTGACAACAACATGATTTTTTCTCAGATCAATGGAATTAGTAAATTTCAGGTACATAAAGGATATTTTTCTTAAAATTCTTTTCAGTAGGGAAAATTACAGTTCATAGAAGTTAGTTTGATCCTTTTCCTTCATTGCTTCATTTGAGAAACTGAAAGAGCAGCAAATTGTTTTAGCAGAAACCTTGATCTCTAACTCATTAGTTCTAAAAATCGCAAAAAGCCACAGTTTAAAGCCTTTAGAGATAAAGAGTATTTTCACTTTTGAGAAAGAAGCGTTAGCATGGATGTTAAGGGTGAGACACACTGATCAGTGTTGCAAAAAGTTCTTGCCTTCCTGATATCTGTCAAGCATTTGTTCTGGGATGACAGGTCTTGGATCAGTCAGGCTGCAAGATTGTCACTCTGGGGCCTGTAGTAACCACTGTAATTTTTTGAAAATACAGAGATGTCCCTCACACTCTTTATTGAAGAACTTTTGTCACACTATTGTGATGTTTGCCTTTTAGGAAAATCTCTCTGCATTTAAATATGATCCCAACATCAATATTTTGCTGCTGCCTCTTCACACTGGCTCCAATGGACTAAACATCATCGAAGCGACTCATGTTCTGCTTGTGGAACCCATTCTGAATCCTGCACATGAGCTACAGGCTATTGGCAGAGTACATCGTATTGGCCAAACAAAGTAAGAGTTCTTATATAGAGGACCTTATAGAGGCTTATATATGGTCCACAATATAACTGCATACTGTAATCAGAATAAATCTGGTTCACTGAACCTCTCAGTTTTGGAGATGAGGGTATTCATACAAATACTGTTTTTAAAGATGATAACATAAGGGACAGAAAGAATAAAATTTTTTTAAAGTTTGCTGAAAATACACAATGTGTATTTTAGGGAGGTTTTTTTTGTGCTGTGGGGCTGAGATGCAGCAGAAAATTGCATTTAGGGAAAAGCATAGGCTCTTGCGTCCAAAACCCTGAAAAACCTTGTTCAGCTGTTGCCCTATTTTGTGTGCTGTTGATGCCTTAGTTTTTACTTTGAAGTTCTGCTTGTAAGCATGTCCAGAAATGTCTTAGCTTTGCAGGTCTGAGCAACTCACCATTTATGTCATATGTGGTTAAGTTCAGGCATGGCCCTTCCTAGTTGCCTTGAGAGGCTCCTCCTAGCTGGTCATTCCCAGCTCCAGATTAGGTGCTGCGTAAGTTGTTGGGGGTGGTTTGGGGTTTTTTTTCTTTCCCCAAAATAGTTACAGCACACACTTTAAAGAACTGATTAGTTTTTAAATCACAGTTCTGCCCTCATCTCTGTCTAGATCTCTTTAATGAGTTTGCATATCTTTTGTTTGTTTCAATGTTGTAGATTTTGTGTGGGTAGTACTGAACACTTATTAAAGGTTTTGTGAAGTTTGTCCTGAGTGGATAAGATGTATATGTTTTTCCTTAGGTTTCATGTCAGTTGGAAAAATAAGTTAAAAACTCTTGTACATGAAGAAGAAAAATAGCTGGAATCAATTCTGGAGTAATAATGTTCTAGAAGAATAGTGCTTTTTGTGTACTGGAAATGGGGGCAAAGCAAGAGGTGGATATTTGGGTGTGTTGGTAAAGATTTTGAATTAACTGTGAGAGCATAACAATGATTGATCACAACAGCCTGCATTATAATTGTACGTGATGCTGGCACAAAAGGTCTGGCAAAAACCTTGCAATAAAACCAACAAGAATGTGTGCTGTACTTCTTAGGAATTCTTAAGACTTTAGAAAGGCTTATTTGAAAAAGGGCTGTGTTCAAGTACAGTGAGCATAAGGGAATGCTCTGTCTAGTTTCACTGGTGCAACTATTACTAGTTCAGTTGAGTTCTTATTTGCTTCTCTTTTTTTGGGTAGACCTTTGCCTATGAATCACAAAGTATTCCCCCAGAATTCCTCTGTTTAATATTACCTACCAAAGTTTCCACTTCAGATCTGAAAACCATCCAAGCACTTTCAAGGGTTCATATCTTGAAAAATGTTTGTACTGGGGAGCCTGGAGTGATTTTTTAATTTTTATCTTTGGAGCTGATTCTTTTTTATTTCACTTTCTTGTGCCTGACATTTTATTATTATTATTATTATTATTATTATTATTACAGCTTTCATTTTGAAATTTTGTTTCATAAATGGAGTTTCATTTTGGTTTATGTTTATTGACATTTTGGGTTTTATTTTTTACCAGTGTTTACAATTTCATGTTTACTAAAATTTACAATTGCTGACTTAAAAAAAAAAAAAAAAAAGTATTTTGCCATTTTCAAAGAACAATATTGTTAAACCTTTAGGAATGAGCTTTAATTATCCATCACAGTGAGCTCTCTTTCCTGGACTGACTTGTAACAATGCAGTATAAACATTGTCTATAACCCATGGGCCAAAGTAATTTCTTTAAATGACAGGCTAGGCTCTTGAGGACTGTTTGCTTATAGTAGGGTCACAGAAAGCAGAACTTTTCCCAGCATCTGCTTTAGGATTTTAGTTAATACAGCTTATATTCATTTAGTATGTGATCCGGCCCAATGAAAGTGTGTACTCTGGGAGGCAGTAAGCATCCTTAAATGTCAGTGGAAGTTGCTTTTTTAGCACTCGTACAATAATTAGTATGAGACAAAAATGTGTTCTTGAACTTGGACAGTAACGGCATAACTTCTACTCACTTCTGCTCATTTTCTCTTTTTGAACACATTCAGACCTACCATTGTTCACAGGTTCCTGATAAAAGCAACAATAGAAGAGAGAATGCAGACCATGCTGAAAACTGTAGATAGAAGGTATGCGTTGAATTTTTTTAAAACATCATTATTGCACTGAAAATGAAAAGGTAGTCCCCAACCATACTTTTACTATAGGTAGGTACATATATCTTACGTATAAACTTCAAGTGTTCTCCTTCAAATTGTTTTGATTGACAGAAAAGTTTTAAAACTTGAAAAAATTATATTTTAACCTGGTTCCAGTAATTTGAAGCTTAAGAAATTTTAATTTTCTGGAGAATATTTTGGTTACATTTTGTATATTTTATTTCATAAAAGCCCGATTAATTAATAAATTGTGTTATGATTTATCTTCTCAGTTTACCTATTTCCATTAGTATAAAAGCATTGCAATTAATGGAGTAATACTAAGCCTGCCACTGGAGTAACAGCATATGTTGTAAGCTCTAATATAGGACATTAATTCTTTCTTTCATTATTTTTAAATTCTGCAAATCTAGTCTGTCAGTTCTGTGTCACACTGGTTGGTTTTGCAGTCAATGCAGGAGTTGTCCAGATGCTAGCTCGTAAGTCAGTCTGGTGTGCAGACACAGAAAGCAGTTTTCACTGTGTTTATTTTTTCAAAATCTATAAGCAATGACAGACTGAGAGTGGAATGAAAGTGATATTTACATTCTTTATGCAGAAAGTAAAGAGGTTTGTACCCCTTTAACCATATTGTATGCACATAACAAATGTAGGAGGAGGCCTTAGTTTGAGAAAATTAGTTATTTTTCCCCTTTTTGGTTGTTGCAAATTGTGAGACTAAAACTTTACTGTGTATCTTTGGCTGTAGTTATGAAAGATTTCAGTTTTAGGTTTGAAAGAATGATTTAATCAGTTTCCATATCTGTAAAGTAGTGCTACTTTTGCATATAAAATTCAGATAAATATACAGTGGTTGAATGATCCCATGAGGGCTAATGTTTTGAAAGTAATATCAAACCTTATACTTGGAAGCTGAAGCCAATCCCTTAAATGTTAAGAGGGCAAAGCAGATTATCCCATGTTCTGCTGCCTCTGCAGTGTTTGGTGTTAACCACCATTAGGGACAGTAGATGACTTTGTATTTTACCCAGAATGTGCAAGAGAAGTAGCTGATCAGCGTATGTATTTTCCCTGATAGAAATGCTGAGCTTCAAAGCTGAACAGCTGTTGGACTCTAGAATCATGTAGTCTGTCTTCAGTGCATATGGCTTGCTACTTAAGTTGATTCCTTTGCTGACCTCTGCATGCAATTTTTTCCCACAGCCACACGAGCTCTTCCATGAAACAGTCAGAAGCCTCAGTTCTGACAGTGGCAGATTTGGCTGACCTTTTTACAGAGGAAACTGAAGAACTTGAGTAAAAGCATTGGTTTGGCCTAATGAAATCAGAAAGTACCTGACCTAATAAGCACCAGTATATAATCCACTTGATCTGTCATTCCTGTGAACATCATCTAACATTTGTCTGTAAGAGAGCTGTTGGAAACTGACAAGTCTTAATGGTTACTGTCCCACACTACTTCTAGCACTGCAGAAAACTTGCACTTTGCACATTAACAAACACATGGATTTTATTTCCAAAGAGCATTTGAGCTGGATGCTAAAACTGAGATCTTGGAACTTGATTGAGAGGTTTGATTGGCTTGTAGCTCGGTCTGAGAGCAAAACTATGTGGGTGATTGGGTGGGAAAGGGAAGCAGAAAGACACAAATCTAACTTTTTTTTACTGTACAAAGAATTATTAGAAAGAATGACTGTAAATTAATATTCTTTTAGAAAGGGCTTGTTTAGCATTTAATGCAGAGTTACTAAATGTCTTATTGGTAACACTTTAGATGACTGATCTTTGCTAATAATTTGGATATTTGTATTATGCTTTTAGATATTAATGAAGACTTGTGACAGGTAAAAATATCATTGTTAATGTTTACTCACTGCAAAATTATAATCATTAAATTATGCTTTTTGTATGTGTGTTGGACTGGAAATCAGTTAAATACTTGAACTTACTGTACATATTTTCACTTATTCTTGAAGCCATGTGTGATTTTTATTTTTTATTAGCAAAGCACTAGAAGTAATGCATTTGTTACAGAATTTTTAAAATAATTGGTTAAGCTGCTGATAATTTTATTATTTTATGCTTGTGTCCATTTTCTCACCCTGATTTTTTTTTTTGTCTAGTTCTCCCTGTAAAGATGCAGCAATCTAAATATTCAAAATAGATGAAATTAAGGTAGGCAGTCTAATTATTAGGTACCTAGTCTAAGTTAGATTATCACCGGAGAGAGTTGAAAGTTTTGTGACACTTCATCCTTAGATATGAGAAATCACTCTACCCCATCTCTGTTGACAGTAGAGAGTTTAGGAGACAAATCTAGGCGAACTTTTAGACTGCTGAAAGTAGGCAAGAGATACACATTTACATAACAACATTTCTGAAGGTATTACAGAAGCAAGCTCAGTTACACAGTTGGTGTTAAATGCAATTTTGTGTTTAGAGACTGGGCAAATCTGTACACATTAGCAACAGGCTACTTCCCTTAAATTACAATATTACTGTTTCAGTAGACAGTGTTTTTTGTATATTTTACACATCTTACTTGAGGTTGAAATTAAAATGAGTTCTTTAAGAAATCTAATCTTGGAATTTTTACTCTAATCATGTCTGCTAAACAGATTTGCCATATAGTTATTAGCTGCTTCAGTTCTGTTTTCAGTCACATTGCATTTCAGTTGCACCATTCGGGTATTAAGCCTGTCTGCATGGCAGACAAGTTTGCTGCTGCTGACAACAATGTTAATAGAATTTACAGGAATAATACCGTATCAAGAAGTGGCTTTTTAGCCTTTGTAGTCTGTTGTCCTTCTGGAACTGATTAGATACTCTGTTCTAAAGACTATTTGAGTAAATTTTCAGACAATGTATCTTTATTTCCCATATTTGTAATGTGTTGGTCCTATTTATACATTTTGTTTTGGAGAATACTGAATATTTTTTTTTTCAGATTACAGTTTGCAGCAAGGGAAATAGAATAGATAGTAGACTTTTTTTTTTTTTTTAATGAGACTGATCAAAAGGTTTGTACAGAGACTGTCACATCTCCATCCTTGAATGCACTGGGAACTGAAATGACCCTGAGCAACCTGATCCAGCTACAAAGTTGGCCCTGCTGTGAGTGGTGTGTTGGACCAGATGACCTCCATGGATCCCTTCCAGCCTAAATTATTCTACAGTGTACTGGAGATCATGCTGTACAGTCACTCCAGGAACTCTGAGGGCGGCAACATTCCAGTTTCTTCATCGTCCTCAGAGAATTTTAATATTGTACAATGTAATGTGACTGAACAAGGAGCTGCTGTTCACTCTGAGAAATTACATATCTCTGGTAAAAACTGTGGAAGCACATAGTGTTTACATTCATAGCTCCCATTTGAAGTAACTACATGTGGGAATAATAGTGGTCAGTGAATGTGAAGACAGAGAAGCGAACTGAAAAGTTTCTGCTATGAGAGGTTTCCCAAGCTCTGCAAGTTTTTGGCTTATTTATATAAAGATGGTGTTTTCATTGTTTATTTACCAAAATGTGGCTTTTGGATTCCTAACCAAAAGCATAGCTTCTCATCAAGCAGTGCATGAGTGAGTCTTTAGTACTGACTTTTTTTATGCTCATGTAACAGCATGGAATGCCAGAGATCTGGTTCCCTACTGCCCTGGAGCTCCAGGACATAGAAATGTGTTAAGGTTTTGTTGTGTCAAAGCACCTCTTGAAATTGGAAGGTTGAACCACTGCAGTGTATAGCCTGTGTCAGTAGTAAAGTGAATTCTTCAAGTTTCGCATAATTCTAAGTACAGAGACTAAATACTTATTTTGTAAAAGCAAACAAACTGTAATTTACCACTTCTTGCCATTTAGTTTCTTTGACAAAGATTTCTTTCAGACACCTTAAAACACCTCATGAGATGAACTTTCTGTTTTTTTTTTTCTTTTTCTGCTAAGGGTGCAGCTTGGATGTCTGCAGTGCAAAGCACAGTAAGCCTGTATTCACAGTGCTACCATGATTTTGTTCTCTATCAAAACACTCTTTTGAAAGACAGTATATTAGCTGAGAACAAACTTTACCCTTTTGTAATAGTTCAGATATACTCATAGAAATGGCATTTTCCACAGAAGACAGAAATCTATAAATACTGACTGTAGTGTTTACATAATATTTGTGTGGATGTATCCACAGTCATGTACCAGATTCTCATGTGTTCTCCACATGTGAACATGATCCAAGTGGGGAATATTGTTTATCCAGTGAAGTCAACCCCTTTAAAAATGAAGCTCCAA